CAGTGTGTATCAGATTGTGTGTAAAAAATATATGTGTGGTGTTTGAAAAAGCAGAGGTGCTTTGTGTTGTCCAGCGATACACAAATACCATTTCAGTGTGTAGTGCTAGTACTGTATAGTACAGGGTGTACCAGTGTGTAGTATTAGTTCCAATGTGTCGTACAGCATCTGGACAAGCTGGTCAGAAGCTCGGTGGTTGGTATGGAGCCGGACTCCGTGTTGTCGGTCGCTGACACGAGGACTCTGAGCAAACTGTCTATCATGGACAGCATCAACCACCCACTCGGCACAGTACGGTTTCCTGTTCTTGCGTTAAGCATATTCACTTTATGTTTGCTGTGCCTGCACTGTGCTCACAGATTTGGAAGCGCGGCTCCACACCATGGAGAACAGCCCAGCTAGCTATGCCCACGTAGCCGGTGTGGAGCCTCCTAGACGTAGCTTAGCCCAAGCTAGCCGCCCCCCACAGCTTCCCGAGCAGCCGGGATCCCCCCCCCACCCCCTCAATACACAAGTAAATACAAATTAAAGTATTTTTCTGCAGCTTGGATACAGCAGTAGTCTGTAAACAGCTTTGAAATCAAAACCAGGGCAGAGAGGACATCTGGTTAGTCTAACCAGGACCAGAGACCTGAACCAGGACCAGGACTCTGAATATAGTCTGACCCTGCAGAGGAACACAGACACTGAGAGTCTGCATCCTCTCAAAATACCTTCATCCCGGTGTTCATCTCCTCGGAATGCAATGGTCTGTTTGTCCCCGCAGGAGTTTTAATTTTAGCCTGTCAGTCTGAACTCAAGGACATTTAACTTCTTTTGTGGAGGGAAGACTCTCAGGACAAGTCAACCTTTCCTCCAGTCGGTTGCTGTGTACTCAGTCATGGAAACAGCCCAGACACCAGGACCCAGACAGATCTCCAACTGGGCACAAAGACCTCTGAGTCCACAGAAAAGTAAAGGTGAACAGGCCAGAGTTCAGACACAGGCCAGCTGCTCACAACAAATCACAGCCACCTCCGATGGTAGCTGAGCTGTGTTTGTAAAGCAAGTGTGATGAAATACTGCAGCTTGATTGGAGCAAGCGACTGGGATACCAGTCCAATCAGGCAGGGAGGGAGGCGGGCCAAGGAGCGAGTGCAGAAACGGAGGAACCAATCCCAGATGGGCAGCTGCTCATATTAATTTGCATACTGAGAAAATGTTAGACAAGAGGGCATGGGCCGGTCAGCTGTCGTTTTATTAAATTTTTCTGATAAAACATTCCCTGAGCATCAACGCAAGGTGAGTAAATGATTAATAAATATAAATAGATCAGAAACCCTCAAACATTCCTTGTGTTAAAAAAGTAAACAGCTTTCAGCGTAAACATAAAAGTGATGTGTACAAACAAAAGAAACAAGTTAAATGAAATAAGCTAATGAAAAGCAAATGTTAGTCAAAGAATAAAGCTTGAAAACAAAGTGCAAAATATGAGACTGCATATAGAAACACTAAAATGGTACCAAATAAAGTAACATACATTGTATATTAACAGAATCATCACCGAAATCTGTTTTTCCTTTCTTGACTGTTAAAACAACAGAAACTAGTTCCTAATGTTTGGATCCTAACTGTAAAGGTGGAAGACACCATGTTGGATTGCACTCACCTCTAAAGGTGTACTTATAAAAGTGCTTGCTGAGTGTGTACCTGTATATCCAGGTTAAAATTTGTTGTGTGTTTTCTCCAGGTGAGTGTTGCCCGAGGAACAGATGGGTTTGGCTTCACCATCTGTTCCGACTGTCCAGTCAGAGTCCAGGCTGTCGACCCTGGTAAGAAACTCACCTGGTGAACTACACACCTGTTAAACTACTCATGTGTGAACGATAACGCACCTGCCTGGGTATTAAAGGTGTTTAGTAGTCATGTGATCTAACCCTTCTCACACTAGTCAGCTGACATCATACAGTAGACTGACACCTGTGAGGGACTGAATGACATCATGCACGCATGCATGTGTTTGCAGGAGGTCCAGCTCATCATTCTGGACTCCGTGAGGGGGACTCGGTCCTGCAGCTGAACGGACTTCCTGTAGAGACCTGGAAGTGTGTTGACCTCGCCCAGGCCATCAGGTAACCTTGCCCCCTGACAGCCTCTCTCTCCACCTGTTCAGGTGAATGTTTCTCCTGTAGTTTACTTCAGGTTTAGTGTGAATTTATCTGAGCAGTCAGCATTCACTGAAAATACCAAATGTCTGCACTTTTAAAAGTTTTACTCCTTTCCTTTGAAGTATTGAGTACTGAATACCTTTCATGTATTTGCTGATTTACTTCCTTTTCTCAGAAGAACAGGACCTGAGGTCAGGTGTTGCTCACCTGAAACAACTGAACAAGTCACACATCAGATTCTCAGAAAACAGTGGTGAAAGTAACTAAGTACATTTACTCATGTAAATGGTCTTATACTTGTATAGCACCTTTCTACGCTTTTACAGCACACTCAAAGTGCTTTCACATTATTCGGCCATTCACCCATTCGCACTCACGCATTCACACACCGGTGACATCACCGGGAGCAACTGGGGGTTCAGTGTCTTGCTCAAGGACTGGACGAGCTGGGAATCAAACTGCTAATCCTCTGGTTAGGAAACGACCCACTCTACCTCCTGAGCCACAGCCGCCCCAATACTGTACTTCAGTACAATTCTGAGGTATCTGTATTTCACCTGAGTATTCTCTCTGCTCCTTCATCCTGTGACTTCACTCCATGCAGGAGACAAACCGTGTACTTTTTACTGCACTACATGTACCTGATAACTTCAGTTCCAGAATCAGATGAATCAAATCAAACCCAGTAGAACCATCAGTCTCTATTGATCCCAGTGGGAAATCCACCACCTACCCAGCAGGATGGAAAGTACTTCACAGTATAAGTATATAAGGTAGTTACTGGGACATGGGCCGTTCTGCAGGACAAGTACCGGTACTGCTGGACGCTGATACGTTTGCACTTTTACTTAAGGATATTTCTGAATACAGGACTTGTACTTGTAACAGAGTATTTGTACACTGTGGTATTACTACCTTTACTGCAGTAAAGGATCTGAATATTTCAGACATGACATTCTCTGTGGAAACTGAAAGTATTCAGATCACAAATAGGAGGCTTGTTTATTTGTTTGTTTGCTGTTTGTTGTTGATGATTTCTTTGATTCCAGTATCAGCAGACTGACAGACGCTGCAGCACGTTGGATGAGCCTCACTTCTGTAAATGAAATGATTGTGTTTATTCCTCGGCAGGCCTCCGTACTGCCTGAAGAGGTTTGACAGAATCTGAGCTCAGATCAGAAACCAGAGTTTATGTTGACACTTAAAACCAACAGAACATGACAAATGTGGTTGTTAAAAAAAGGTTTCACTCTGGAACTCCATTTAAATTAACTTTTTGCCTTCACCAAGGAGGCTCTTTCTGATTCTGTGTGTGTTGGTTAGTAGGATTATGGACAAATGGCTAAATGGATCATCAGCATACTTGGTAAAAACATTGATGGTGACCAACCCTAGAAGTGAGAAGATTTTGTCTGAAAAAGGTCAAGGTCACAAAAAATCCCGCTTTAACATGGAGCAATATATATATATATATATATACATCTGTCAAAAGTTATCAAATCATTTTGGCAATGTCTATCACCAGACAAAGTTTCATCTGGATCTGATCTGGATTCCAGAGCTGATGGCCATTTAAACATTGAAAACACCATTTTACACATATTTTCTGCCATAACTTGGCCTATAATGAAGATAGAACCCTGAAATGTTCAGATAAGATGCACAGTACAACTGCCTGTCACACCCTAAAAGATGATCCTCATCTGATCCAGATCAAGGATTTTAGGACACGTGTTGTTCTGGATCTCATTTTTCACAAGGGGCCCATTTTTGTGAGTGAATATTGTGCCTTGGCAGAGGTACATGTGCTCTGTAGGTGCTCTTTTTGATTGTGGTTTCAAATCAACATTTTGTTTTCACTAATTAAAAGATGATTGGTGTAGTTTTAGTTTCTTGTTTTTATATTTAGTTTATATCTATTTTAAAATGGTCTCTCCCTCTCTCTGTCTTTATCTCTGCCTGTCTGTCTCTTCAGGAGCTGTCCATCTCAGATCGTGTTGGTGGTGTGGAGAGGTTTACCTGAGCTCAGGTCAGGATGTGAAGCTTTGCTCCACCCACCCCCACACAACACCGTGAGTCTAAAAAAAAACAAACCTGTGTGAAATCAGACACCTCGTGGTCTGAGCAGGAACTGGCCTTTCAGGTGACATTGTGAAGTGGACAGCTAGGCTAACAGTCTTTGTGATAAGCTAACATCCCTCTGTCTCCCAGACGACAGGCAGAAAGCTGCTGCCTCACCCCACCCACAGTAAACATGGCTGCATGCGGGGCCAGGCGTCTGGGGTCCGGTCCAGTTTGGGGACTCTAGGTTCCCTGTGGAGGGACAGGAAGGAAGACAGAGCAGAAGAGGAGGAGGAACACCAGGAGGTGACCGAGTACTCCGCTGGCACCACCACACTAAAGGGCACCCATGTTACATCATCAAATGGAGACAATTACATCATCCTGTCACCTATTAATCCAGGAGGACAGGTAAGCCTGAGGTTACTGCATGTTCAAGAATGTTCCTGTACAGGGACTCGCTGTTTCACCTGACCACGTCTAACCTACAAGCAGCTGGCCTGAGAAGCCCCCACGGCGGTGAATGATCAGCTAGTGGAAACATTGCTCCCTTTCAAGTAGCTCCAAGGTTGGTAAATCCAACTGGTGGTCGCTGCGTCTTCCCCAACACGACCGCGTATGGTCCCAGAGTAGTGAAATTAATTTCAACAGGTAGCGTGGCACTGACAATAACATCATGGGTCCTTAATCCGCTGGTTAACCAGCAACACATCACAAGCTGCTGACACACTGGCCTCAAGCTGTCAGAACAAACAGGTCGTGGGCTCCAGGGAATCCAGCCTTGATGAGCTGATCTATGAAAGGATGTGCATGACCTTTTTAACAAACAAAAGATCAGAAGGCACCAGGCCCAGATGTTGTGGCCCACTCCTGCCTGAAAGCCTAGGATTTTTTTATTTTTATTTTTTTTGAGACCTTGACTTTGATCTTTTTCACCAAAATCTAGTGACTTCTGGGGTTGGTCCCTACCAGTGTCTGTACCAAGTATGCTGATGATCCATCTGGCCATTTGTCTGTAATCCTGCTAACCAAAACACACACAGAATCAAAATATAACTCCCTTGGTGGAAGTAATTATTGTAAAGAAAACTGTAGGACTTCAGCACTTTACAGAAATCCAGTCTGCTAAACAAATGAACACAGTGGAATGTGCTGAATCACACATAACATGAACATACTGATCTTTTCTCCAACTCAGGCTCTTTCACTGTGTTTCATAAGATAAATGTACAACTCTGAGGTCAGGGTTAGGGTTTCTAGACTATCACCCCCGACCAGAGCTAGAACAGTACTGACAATCTGTTCAGTCTGTAGACCTTCGCATTTACCAAGAAACCCGATGCCACCTGGTCCGTACAGAAATCCTGTTGTCACTGTTGCCGAGTCAACACCGTTAGTTCTGGTGTAACACCTGTTCTGTGTTTCAGCTCCTGCAACCGGTTTATCATGATGGGACTGGAACAATTGGTATGACCCCCGCTCTGAATATTGATCCCACAGTCTAAATATTGACACATCTTGATTATAACCAATACAATCTGTCACCAGGGCGTCTGTACCAGACTCGTACCATCAGAGAGCAGAACCTCCATCATGACCCTCAATCCAAATTGTCACAGTTGTTCACCAGTCAGACCACCACCCTGGGCCTGCCCCCCTCCTGCACCTCCTCCTCATCGCCTGGTAACTACAGCAACTACCAGAATTGCACCATCGTCCAATCACACCTGCCCTGCTCCACCTATGGAACTTATGTTGCCCTGGCACCCAAGACCCTCATCTTCCCTGTCTTTGTCCAGGTTAGAACCATTCACCTAAACCCAAACCCAGAGCCAGTTATAAACCAGAACATAAACACCCTCATCTTTTATCTGTGTTGCATATCAGAATAAATGTGATGTTATTGATCCTGTATTGAATGGTGTCTATATTTGTTGTTGTTTACAAATTCCATTTGTTGTTTTCAGCCTCTGGATCTATGCAGCCAAGACCGAACCCTGCTGATGTCAGAGGAGATGGTCCTACACCAGGCTGACCTGCTTCCTGCCAAGGTAACAGTACTGCTAACAGTGCTGGAACTATACTACAAATACAAGTGCTGCTAAAAATACTACTAACACTACTGCAAAAAAGCTACAAATATATTCACTTTAATTTAGATTTATTTGTATGGCACCAGTTCACAACAAAAATCATCTCAGGGCACTTTAAGGTCTAGACTAGAGATGCACCAATTGACCAGCATTGGTCAGAAATGGCCGGTTTTCAGCATGATTGTCCTTGACCGCAGACCAGCAGATCGCTCTGATTTCCAATTCTATGCCAGGCAGATTTAGATGCACGGCAGTCCAAGTTGTGCATGCAGTGGCACAGACCAAAAGCGTAGTGTGTGCAGTGCATAGCATCTTGTGTGCACCTTGAGTGAGGCTCAAACTTATGTCTGCTCCAGGCATGTGTTCTCTTCTGGAAATGGTTGGTGCACAAACGGTGCACAGAGGAGCCACAGAAACACCTTGGAGAAGGGGAAACTACGTCCACATCTCCAAACAGTACCCAATGAGGGAGTTACTGGCTCCACATGAAATGCATGTATATGTGTCAACCTGTGGTAAAACACAGCGAATACAAACTGCACACACTTAAAGGGAAACTGTGTGCTCAGTAGTAACTGACATTCTGTTTCTACTACCTGTTGCACCTTTTCATATTTGGAGAAGTTCAAATACTGCACTTCATTTTTAGTTGGTGGTTTGTAAAACAAAGTGAGAAAGATGGTATGTAAAGCCTTAATATGTTTAATTTTTATTACAATAAAATTTTTGATTAAAGAAAAGTTAAAAAGGTCTGCGTATGCTGTTGATTACAGTTCTTAGAAAGATAATCAGATCAGACTTTTTAAAGAAATCTGAATCAGCCAAGGAAATTGCAATTGGTGCACCTCTAGTCTAGACCTTACAGTAAAGGGAGAGGAGAGGAGCTCCAGGCATCATGGGCCCCTATAGCAGCGTAACTAAGGGAAGGCTCAGGGTCACCTGATCCAGCCCTAACTATAAGCTTTATCAAAAAGGAAAGTTTTAAGTCTAATCTTAAAGGTAGAGAGGGTGTCAAGTCTCTGCAGCAAGATGCTGTGATCAATGGTGTCAAAAGTAGCTGAGTCCAGACTGTGTGTATATATATGTATATGTGTGTACAAGGTCTCTAAGTACTTTTTTTTATCGCTTTCGTAATGCACATTCCCTTGCTTGTTGACATGTATGTGCACATTGAGAGCTGCTGTACTAGAGTCAGATTCCTCATGTGTCTGACACACCTGGCCAATAAAGCTGATTCTGATTCTGAACCTGATCCTGAAGGACACAGCAAACTCTGAGACCAGAACCAGGATCAGTTTCACACTAATGGACCAGACTGATGATGCAGCTGAAACAGATTTTCTGTGGATCTGTAGCTTAGTAGTTTTATGCTTTCAGGCAAATTGAAGGCGTCTGTGTGCAGTCAGGCTGACTGACACAGGACATTAGTAGAGATCAGAGGTCACATAGGTCATCAACTCAGGCTCTTTCTCTGGAGAAAGTGTGTGTGTGCATGTAATGCATGTGTAATGAGTGTTTTAATGTGTTTGAGTCTGGGTTTAATTGTGTTTACTGTGTGTGTTTCAGGTGACCGTGTTGATCTACAATGACCTGCTGCTGTTGACTAGAGAGGATGAAGCTGGACGCTGCAATGTCCTACAGAGTCCTCTGTACCTGAACACACTGCAGCTCAGAGAGGGTGCCATTATTACTGTTGTTGTAGTTGTCATGGCAGTGATATATTTGTGAAGAGGAGTTTTTTGTGTGTATTTGTAGCGTGGACGATTAGGATGATGACAGTGAAACTGTTTCTGAGACATTTGGACATTCTGACATTCAGAGCAACTGAAGTGTCTGTTAATGTTGATGTAGGTAGTTTGTTTATGTCAGAGGTTGAACCCGACAGCCAATCAGAGTGGGGGATTTGATGCCCTGTTCTTGTTTTGTTCAGTGTCGTCAGAGCCGCTCCACATCTGCCTCCTGCAGCGCTCTCAGACTGAGTGGGGCCGTCTCTTCAGCCTTGAGTCTTTCAGCATCGAGCAGAAGGTCAGAGTCAGTCTTTGTCTCCATGACAACATCCAGCTACAGCTGGTCGCGACAGAGACTGCACACAGCCACCAGGTACTGCAAAGATTTACCATACACCTGTAAACTCTATGAAACATTCCATACATAATACGAACATTGGCCGTCCTCTAATTTTTTTTTTTTCTTCACCTGCCTGGCCTGACCTACCTGTACCTGTGTAGTGATACAGGGTTGTCGAGCAGAGGGCACTGACAGTTCTTCAGTTCTAGTCACTGGACGATGATCATTAACTCTCTTTATCTCTTCCTCCTCACCGCTCTCCTCCCCCTCAGCCCTCAGACCTCCCCTCAGATTTCGGCCTCCTCTCCCTCGGTCAGTCTGACATCCTCTGTCACCCCTCTTCCCCCTACTCTTCGCGCTGTCACCCCCTCAAACCAGCCTCACCCTCTCCTTACTCCCCCAGCTCACCCTTCTCTCCCTCTACTCCTCCTCTTCCCTCCTTCTCTTCTTTCTCTCCATACACCTCATCCTTTCCTCCCTCCAGGACCATCACCAATCTACCTCACCTCCTTCCCTCCCCCCCCCACTCTTCCTCCTCTATTCAGAGGAGTTCAATTGAGAAGGAGAGATGGAGAGCAGAGGAAGAGGAGGAGAGGAGGAAAAGGAGGGGGGAGGAGGAGGAGGAGGAAGTGGAGGAGCGTCAGCAGGGGGAGGGAGAGAGCTGCTCCGAAACATCTGAGAACATAGGAGGCGTGGGGGGGTGTGGGCTCCAGATCGGCTCTCACCACTTCAACATGAAGGAGGAGGAAGAGGGAGAGATTGCTGAAGATGAAGAGGAGGGTGGAGGAGGTGCTAAGGAGTTCACCTGCACCTACAGACCTGCAGGTCAGTCTGCACTTTGCAATGTGAGCACTGAATATATCTAAAGTGTTGCTGCTGTCAGCTGAAGCAGACGCACTGGAACAAAGTGGCGTGACAGTGGAAATGAGAGCGTTTCAGCTAAATGGCCTGTACAGCGCTTTTCTATGCATCACCGTGCACTCAAAGCGCTCTCACACTATTTACCCATTCGCACTGCCAAGCACTCACACATTCACACACCAGTGACATCACCAGGAGCAACTGGGGGTTCGGTGTCTTGCCCAAGGACACTTCAGCGTAAAGTGGTGAAGCCGGGAATTGAACCACCAACCTTCTGGATAATTTTTTAGTTTTAGTCAATAAAAAGTAGAGGTATTGTCTTGTTTTTCATCCTGTATTTTTAATATTTATCATACCATGTAAATGGCTTGAGGTTACAGCCGTCTCCATCTTTGTTGTATGTAGTTACCATGGTTACAGCTGTCTCCATCTTTGTTGTATGTAGTTACCATAGTTACAGCTGTTGCTCTGCAGCAGCTGATTCAGTCCCATTCGGACTAAAACACTGGGTCGGGCATGAGATGAGAAGCTAAATCGAGGGAGAGCATGAACACAGTGAGGGTTGTTTAGCCGACATCCAGAGGAAGGTTTAGACGGTCGACTGCCCACAGTCATCCTGGAGCCGACTGAGTGATATCTGATGTGTTTCTCTAATTCTCAGTGGACTGTATGAATTTCATTCAAAAACCCGATTCTTCTGAGAAGTGCTAACGTCAGCTGCCAGATGCAGAGCGCTACTAAGTGTAAGATGCTTCTTATTAACGGCAGTACAGCAAGTTGAGCAGTTGAAAATCAACATCTGATTGGGGGAGGTTTGGTTTCACTGATCAGGAGGTACAGCCTGAGTCCACACACTGCAGGTCATTGGATAAGACTTTGCTTTAAGACATTATTACTTCATGTCCGTTTGTTCTCTTTCACATTGTGTGATTTTCTTTTATTTCATAAAAATAAAACATTTTATCACAGTTCTCATTTCCAAAAGTTGTTTTTTACTTTTTGTCTTGTCCAGGAAAATACTCTAGGTGAAAGAATATTTTTCATTATGGTTTTTGTTGATTAAATTAACACTGGTGTCTGTGCTGAAAGCAGCTGAAGTGTTTCCTGATCATTTGATTGATTCTCAATTCTTTCAGTCCTCCATCGCTCGTTTTCTGAGGGTTCTCTGCTGCAGGAACCTCGATCACCCCGCTTCCTATCGGATAGCACCATCCACCAACTCACCCGCCCCACAACCTTTGACCTCAACACCAACTTAAGCCCCGCCCCCATCCCCCCCTCCCTTCACACCCTGAGGAAACAGCTGACCAGAGAGGGCGGGTCTCTGCACCACATGCTGCTCCTGCTCAGTGGCACCAAAGTAAGACACCAGAGGAGACCAAGAAAGTCCATTAGAGACCAACAGAGTCCAAGAGCCTAGAAAACATCAGCAGAGAGAAGCACAGACCAACACAGTCCAGGCCTGCAGAATCCATTTAAAAACAGACAAGCAGAGAACAGTCAAGTATAGTAGATTCTAGAAGAGGCCAGTAGAGAGGAGCAGAATCCCACAACAAACTAAGAGTCTGAAGGCCAACAGGGAGAAAAAGAGACCAAAAGAGACAATAAAACCTTAATCCAGTAAAGAGTAGAAGCCTATCAGAGACTAATGGAGTCTAGAGGAGACCAGAAGAAGCCAGTAGAGCCTAACAGTCAGTTATTGTTTTTGTTTGTTCAGGATTCAGAGTCCAGAAACCCTCACCTGAAGAAGAAGACCAGGAGTTTGTATGTAGACACACACTTGTTCTTGTTTTTGTTTTTTTGTGTTTCCTGTTTGACTCATTTTCACCTCCCCAGAGCTGCTGATGTTTGGAGTCGTCTAGCGTTTCTGCAGAGACGTAGAAACAGTACCTGTTTCCATGGTAACAGTCTGGAGAAAGCCCTGAGAAACAATAGGTAGGAGCGCACACACCTGAGAAAATGTTCCCAAACCTTTACCCTGAACTGGAACCTGAGGTGTGTACCACTGGATGTGTGAAGAAGGGAGGACTGGTTCAGATTGGTTTACACTGAATACCTGGTGCTTATGTCTGCTGGATCTAGCTCGTTCAGCAGAGTCACTGGTTCCTGCTGGTTCCAGACTAAAGTGTGTTGTCTTTTTCAGACTGTCTGCAGGGGAGGTGCTGAGCTGGGCGGAGAGTCTAGAGGCTTTGCTGACCAATCAGTGTAAGACGGTCTACTTCTTGTTTGCCTTCAGCTGCTAATCATTTAGGGTAGGACCCGACTTGATGCTGATGTGTTTCTGCTGGTCTTCCTGCGGTTCTCTCATTGGTCAGGTGGTTTGGCGCTGTTTCATCACTTCCTGAGATCAGAGTTCAGTGAGGAGAACCTGGACTTCTGGTTGGCTGTGGAGAGATTCAAGAAGACCCACCCCCTCAGCAAGATGGCCGCCAGAGCTGAGAAAATCTACAATGAGTTTATTTCAACCACCGCAGTAAGACAGGTACATATCAATCTGTTTGTTCTGTGATTGGTCTAATGTCTGGTCATGTGACATGGCCTGCCTCTGTCTCCAGGTCAATGTGGACTCATCTGTCAGAGAAACAACGAATCAGAACCTTCGTTTTGGCGTTAACCCCGCCTCCTTCCAGTTGGCCCAAGATCAGATTTTTAGCCTCATGGAGACCGACAGTTACCCACGATTCCTCCAGTCCCACCTCTACACCCAGCTGGCCAATCAGAGTGCTACTAGGTCTGTGCCTGTCAGCCAATCATGAGCGAGGATGCGGAGAGAGGTGTAAATGAAATAGAGGGCAGAACAATGATTGTTAGCCAATCAGAGGCCCGATCAATTTATAAAATCTCATTGTCATTAAGTCAAATTTTTGTGTTTTACTAAAACAAAATTTGTTTAAAACCTCAACTTATAAATTTTAAAATGAGAACCCTTTTGTGGAGTAAACACATCAAATTAGCACTCAGATCAGTTTTTAGCCATGCTAGCAGTGAGTGTTAGCATGCTGAAGCATTGTTAGCATGCTAGCACTGAATGTTAGCATGCTGAAGCCGACATGCTAGCATGCTCCAGCTCTATGGTCCTACCTGAAAGATGTCAACATCAGTGTTGGAAAGGTTGCTTTTGAAATGTAATAGGTAACAGATTACTAGTTACCTTGTTTAAAATGTAATAAGTAATGTAACTATTTTAATTCAATGTAATGTCACTTATTTTAATTACTTTTTGATTACTTTTCTAAAAAATGTTTTAAACTGGGCAATAAAGCTGAAAGGTCTTAACATAAATTTACACCAGGCAGTGTAAACAACAATACTAGACACTTACTACTTTACATTTTATTAATGCTTCTTCAACATAACTTCAGCTTCAGAATATATTACTGCTGAGACATGTCGCCTACTGAACGGGCAGCAAGCAAAACCTGTTTCTGATTTCAGAAGGAAAACACTGAATTCCCAGCACTGTAGACAGACAAGGCAGCACAAAATTAAACGAGAACAAGTCAAAAGTTTAACACGTGCTGCCAAATGAATGGAACCTGTCTAGACATAGAGACAGCTCCGTGTTAGCCATCCTAGCCTGAATGGTGTGACTCACCCCAGCAGCTTTGCTGACCCGCATTGTCTGGACCAAAAGAAGGCACTCTGCATGAGCAACAGGATGAATGTTATGTATACATACAAGCTTTTTAGCAGAAAAAGTTTAGCCTGTTCAGACGTAACCCTTTTGTAGTCATCTACTTTTTTTTATTGGTAATTGTAATTTAATTACAGATGTTTTTCCACAGTAACTGATTACAATTAGTTTTGTAATTTCTTTACTGTAACTAGTAGAGATGTCCCAATCTGATAAGTATCAGTATCGGCACCAATGCAGGCATTTTTAAAAAGATTGGTATGGGCCAGAACAGAACCGATCCATTTCCAATCTATATGTAGAACTAGAGTCCTGTGTTTGAGCAGAGATTCATTTTTTTGTGTCACACAACCCATAAGCTGCTATATTAGTCCAGTTGTCTACACTGCCTGTGTGTCAGCTGGTGTATCACTCCCACTTCACCTGTGTAGCAGCAACCCAAAGCCTAGTTTTAGCTTCGAGTCTGTTTTTTGGAGCTGTGCACGTAAAGCGCTCCATAGAATCCACCAAAACAATAAATCTCACTAGTTCTGACCAGAACTCCACCACAATAGAGATACATCAAGCAAAACCAGTTGAAACACATGATCTATCACCTGTTACATGGGTCCTACTGAACATGCAGGTTTTTTTGTGTGTAGTTTTTACTTGCTGTATTTTGCTATGCGTTGATACCCTGTATATATACGTTCAAGTGTAGCCAGTAATTCCCTCACTGTCCATTATTTGCCAGTTTTCTCTCTTCAAGCAGATTATTTAAAGATTATGTGAGCTTCTCTATCTGTTATTAGCAGGACTGAATGTTGATCCTGATTTGATCATCTTGATTGGGTTCGGTATCCTCAATTCCGTATGCTCAAAGCATGTGTCAGAACATGCTGACATGAAACCCTGCTTGGTCCTACTGGACCTGGCTCCTCTGCATTTAGTAAATAAGCTCTGCTGAGGATACAGTGACCTGTTAGTAAAAACAAGTTCTTTATTGTGAACTAATTTTTACCATAAACCTTTAACACTTCATCTGTTTAAATCAGAAGCAAAGATCCTGTTTGGTTGAGTTGTTCATATGTAAACTAATTCTCAGTTTATTCATCTTTAAGTGTTCATCACTGTGGTGAAGTCTGGACATTCCATCATGTTTCTCATGTTGGTTTATAAACCAGGCTGGGGTTGTGTATCGCTGTCTCCTCCCCAGACACATAAACAGAGGTAAAAGTCACAATGTTAATTATTTGTAACGGTTTTATTTTTAATGTCTCTGTGTGTGTGTCTGTCAAACACCGCTATGTTCAGGCTGAATCAAACATTATTTTGTCAAAGTTGTGAAACAACATGTAAAAGGCACGTCAAATGAAACCGGGTGTCACACCGAGGAGACCTGGATGTGCTTTATTAGACAGAGACATCAGACACAGACTCGGAGCCACCAGCAGAGAAACCACCAGCAGGAGTCCGGGTTCTACCCAGCCAGGATGTGTTTGACGAACTCGGTGTAGTTGATGTGTCCGTTGGCGTCCTCCTGTCCCACCATCAGTCGGTCCACCTCGTTCTCCGTCATCTTCTCTCCCAGCGTGGCCAGGACGTGGCGGAGCTCGGCCCCCATCACTGTGCCGTTTCCCTCCTTGTCGAAGACCCTCAGACCCTCCACGAAGTCCTCGAAGTTGCCCTGCTCTTTGGATCGCGCCACATGCTGCAGCATGGGCAGGAAGCTGTCGAAGTCCAGCAGCTTGACGTTCAGCTCCTCCGCCTTCGGCCTCCCCAGCAGCTTCAGCACCTCCTCATTGGTGGGGTTGTGTCCGAGCGCTCGCATCACATCTCCGCATTGGGCATAGGTGATCTTCATCTCACCCGTGGCCGTCTCGTCAAACAGGGTGAAGGCTTCTCTGAACTCTTCAATCTGGTCCGGACTAAACTCCACCACGATACTTTTCAGGTCCACCTCCGGAGGTTTGGGCTCCGGGTCTACGGGTTTGGGAGGAGGTGGGGTCTCCTCCTTCTTCGCCTCCACCTTCTTCACCTCCGTCTTCTTGGGTTCCACCTTCTTCGGAGCCATAATACTGCAGGTTAGAGAACGGACGGAGATGGGTGAGTAGGCTCTTTATAACGGCCAGAGGTGGGGCGAGTGAGGCTGGAGAGAATGGCAGAGAGAGAGAGCAGCCGACCAAAGATGGAAGAAAACCGGAATAGAAACTGTCCAGGAGATAAGAAGCTTCCAGAAGTGAACCAGTCTGAACTAGAGCTGAGCCGACTCCAGTTAGTGCTATGGACTCAGACTTTCAGGCTTTACGTTAGAGGCCTATTAGTTTACCTTTACCTGGTGGCTGCAGGATGAAACATCTGTTTTCTAATGAAGGAAACATGTTCATCACCTGTTACAGTGAGAAACATCAACTGAAACTTTGAGCTTTAGCTAAACAAAATGATCCAGTGCAGTCCAGTCTCAGCATAAAGTCAGCACAAGTCAAATAAACAAAACAAACTCACTGCAAGTCAGACAAACATCTAAATGGTGATAAATTGCTATCAGCAAACAGAAGACAGGATATAGAGAAACAGAAAAGGAGAAGAGAGCGGGCAGGAGAGACAGAGCAGGACAAAGCCACACGGACAAAGAAGAAAGTAATGGGTGGGAAATGGATTAGCATAAAACACAATCAGAGAGAGGGACAGCAGCAGGAAGAGACCAGGGGACAGAGTTCCATCTGGACCTCAAAGTGTGCTCTTAATCTCTGTAGTGTAAATATCAGATCCAGTGTAGTAATGTTACAGGATTTTAGTTCTCATCAGTCTGGGCCACATAACAATATGTGCAAACCCCCCAGATAGTGCAACCCCATGCTACCCTGCCAAAACCTCTTGCACTCCTTGTAAAATTTTATAGATCCAAACAGCAAAAGAATACTTATAAACAGACATTTTAGAGCTGATCCCTCTCCACCTCATTATTTTAAACATTTTCTTGAACCTACTGAGTTTGGTTTGTTTTTGTTGCTTGTTTTTTTACACATTTTTAATTCATCTGTTTTCTACATTTGGTCTGTTCTTCTTTTGTTCAACAGAAAATTCCCCTTAAAATTAAAATGACTAACCTGAGACATTTCTTGTACACTCTTTGGTCATAATATTTGTGTGTGTTTTGCCTTTAATATTTTATATTTTATTCTACTGTAACATCAAATTTTAATATGTCTAATTGAAAACCCAGACAGCCTGAGGGACAGGAACAGAGGAACTGGTCTGAAATATTTAGCCTGTCTAAAGTGATGTTTAATATTGGACGGGAAGATTTTGATTAAACCGTTGTTTATTTGTACGTTTGCAGAATTCCCGGGTGCATGCGGTCTAAGTGTCGGAGCAGCAACGTGACGCTGATGTGGCTCCGTGTCTCTGCCTCATTACGCTGCTTCTATTTCAGGCTCTTTATCTCCTGGAAACTCTTGTGTTTCATTAACATTCTTGCTGGGACAAGGACAGTGCTTACTCATGATACTCTGTGTCCTTCAGTCTTTAAATAACACCCCCACCCCCACTGAAGACTTCAGTTTAAGATAAGAACTGCCTGAAGACCAGGTCAAACTCAAACTGCCTTCATAGATTTGTAAGTGTGTCACAGCCGGAGGAGCCAGGTGACCACGAACAAAGGAGATGTGGAAGGTGAACAGTGACGGTCACATACAGAAACACAGGAGCACACAGGGCCCATAACTAACAAAACACACGTAGGTGGACAGACAACAGGGACTAACACCAGAAAAACAGTGAAGGTGGCCTCAGGCAAATAAAGACATGACTCAGTGGACTCAGGTAAGTATGGCCACACATGTACTGTGACGTACAGGTAAGTGTGGCTATACATCTACTATGAAACACGTAATGGTAGGCAAGCAGGAACACAGACTGAGTGACTCTGGAGGAAACTAAGTGGAGCAGGGACCAGACTAATTCTTGGTCACAGGAATTAGTGACACATTTACTAGTAGGCAGATTAGGAGTAGTCAATCGGACACAAAAAACTAACAGACACAAGAACTAAAACATCCAAACCAAGGTGAGTCTGGCTGCATCAGTGTCTGAGAAGGAACAGGAGTGAAGCAGTAGCGCTTCACTGATGGGACTGAACAGGGAAAGCCGGCCTCTGTGCTGCTGGATGATTACCAGGTGGAAAACAGGTGTATGGCAGGTAAATCTGGAGCAGAGACTTGGCGGGATGGAAAGGAGGAAGTGCACCAAAATAAAAACAAAGTTCATGATAGGATGTGCTGTGGATCATCACAAACAATGAAATTCTTACTTTGCCGTCCACACTGAGTGCCACACAACACAAGTGAAATATAATGTAGATAAATAGTTAAATAGTAGTACAGGTCTTTGAGGATGGAGGCAGCTCTCTGTCATATTCATGACCGCAGATAGAGGGAAGGATATGCAAGGCAGAGAGGGTCTGACACTTCACACTTTTTCAGGATTACCAATAGAGTCAACTACATTATCACAATCACCAATGATGGAACAACAGTCCTAACTATAAACTTTACAAAAAGGAAAGTCTTAAGTTTAATCTTAAAGGTAGAGAGGGTGTTGTCCTCCTGAACTGAGACTGGCAGTTGGTTCCATAGGAGAGGAGCTTGATAGCTAAAGGCTCTGCCTCCCATTCTGCTTCTGTGGACTCTAGGAACCACAAGTAAACCTGCACTCTGAGAGCGAAGTACTCTGTTAGGATGATAAGGCTCTACGAGGTCTTTAAGATACGATGGAGCCTTGTCATTAAGGGCTTTGTATGTTAGGAGAAGGATTTTAAATTCTATTCTGAATTTTACAGTGGACAGCACTACACTTCTGACTGTAACTACATGTGCACTTGTACGGTGATACTGTGACCACATGAAGTTGAGAATACCTGTGTACTTGGATTTTGAATGCAGGATTATTAATTATAATGAAGGAATATTTATCATTGTATTGGGACTTTTACTTAAGTAAAGGGTCACACTATTTCTCAAGCCACTGAGTACATTCAGAAAATTTGTGTGCATGTTAGTGTGTATACTTACATGTATGCTAATGTGCAGTGGAGGGAATTAACAGAGACATTCGGCGGTCCAGCATGTTACTGGGACCACTGTGGATGTTGGGGTACTGGAGGGGGTAATGGGGCTGATGTTTGCACTACAGAGGATCTTGCTTGGAGTGTTGGTGGTGTTTCCAGTAGTATAGGGGCTGTTTGGGGTACTGGGAGTCTTGTAGATGGTAATAGTTTTGGGGAGTACAGGTGGTCTTAGAGCAGAGGGTGCTGTTGGGGCTACTGTTTTATTTCATAGTGGCTATAGATGTTGTTCTGGGGTATAGGAGGCAGTTTTGTATGTTAGTGTGTATGATATGTATCTATGAGGCCACAGCAGAAGGAGCTTCACTGGGTTCAGCTGAGCGAATCCCAAAAACAGAGGAATGTGTGTTTGTGTGAGGGATTTGGAGCCGCTCTGCCGTTGCTATAGAAACCAGCCCAGAGAGGCGATTCGCCCCCTTTCCCATTCTTTGTGTCAGTGTGTGTGTGTGTGTGTGTGTGTCGACAGATTTCTCTCGATGGACAAATGAGCTCTAACAAGAAACAGAAGCAGCTCCATGAAACGTGGAGGAAAAGAAAGACAATCCTGAGGTGAAGTAACTCACAGACTTTATTCAAACTCGTCTGTTTGTGATCTGTTGTCTCTTCTGTTGTCTGTCTCATCTGTATACTGTGGTCCAATCTGTGGTCTGTTTTCTCTTCTGTTGTCTTCTGTACTCCGTTGTCTCATCTGTTGTCGCTCCTGTGGTCTGTCTCGTCTGTTGTCTCTTCCGTAGCTTGTTGTTTTGTCTGTTCTGTAACCTGTTGTCTCTTGGTGTCTGTTGTCTCTCCTGTGGTCTGTCTCGTCTGTTGCCTTTTGTTGTCGTCGCTCCTGTGGTCTGTCTCATTTGTTGTTGTCTGTTGTCTCTCCTATTGTCTGTCTTGTTTGTTATCTCTTGTTGTCTGTTGTCGCTCCTGTGGTCTGTCTCGTCTGTTTTTGTTTCTCCTGTGGTCCGTTTTGTTTGTTGTCTGTTGTCGCTCCTGTGGTCTGTCTTGTTTGTTGTTGTCTGTTGTCGCTCCTGTGGTCCCACTGCCGCTAAGCCATGAAGTATGCTTTTAAACTAAGTGTGTGATGAAACCTTACAGGAAACCTTTCCAGTCTGTTGTTGCTCCTGTGGTCTGTCTTGTTTGTAGTTTGTTGTTGCTCCTATGGTCTGTCTTGCCTGTTGTCGCTCTTGTGGTCTGTCTTGTCTGTTGTCACTCCTGTGGTCTGTCTTGTCTGTTGTTGTCACTCCTGTGGTCTGTCTTGTCTGTTGTTATCTCTCTTATGGTCTGTCTTGTTTGTTGTTGTATGCTGTCGCTCCTGTGGTCTGTCTCGTCTGTTGTCTCTTGGTGTCTGTTATCTCTCCTGTGGTGGTTATGTACTGACAGGTCTGTAGTCTTCTCCGACAGCTACGCGGTGGCACTAAAGTTGTATTTTAATGAGTGAACACAGCGACACCTCTCTAATGTATTCATGTGTGTTCTTGTGTTTCTGCATCTTTTGTGTTGTAAATGTGATTAGACTAAGCTTTTGTGTTGCTGACCTACTTCTGCTGACACTGAATGAATCCAGACTAGACCCAGTCTACTGGCCCAACTGAAACCAGACTACTTCATGTACAGTCTGTGGCTTCTGATTAAACTTTAAATGTTCAGGTGTCCCAACAGTTTTTGCTGTTGATGTAGTTTTTAACTTTTTTAAAATACACGTCAGTCTCACCCCCTTTTCCGTGGCAATGGTGGTGAACAGAGTAGACCTGTGCCCTCATGTTGCAGGTCCAGATCCCACATGTTCAACATGTAGAATACGTAAATGTTAAAATTATAAAGCGCGTCCACCTCAGCTACCAGTTTGCCATGGGTGTCTGCTAGGGTCCAGGATCTTGTGTGATACAGGGAACACGATCTGGACCATTTCAGAAGATTACAGGTATGATGGTTGAATACCAGAACCTTTGTGTTGCTGCCTGCCCAGTCCAACAGGACCAAAACCAGAACATGCAGAGCTGGGAGCTGGTTTAATGAACAGGGAGCTTGCTCACTCTTGTTGTAAGCCGATATCAGGTGTGATGAGCACAGGTGAATGCAGACAAAACTTCCTGTAGTGCCAGGTCAGCTGATTGACAAGTTAGACAGTAATTACACATGCCCCTTGAATAGCAGGGTTAAGACAGCCCGGAACAAAATCCAGCCCAGGGACAACTTCATGTGGACCAACAGGGTAGCCCATTCACAGGATCTATATTTGACAACAGTGTGCTGGGGAGGGTTGCTGGTCCCTTCTGGAGTCAAACTGAAGTCAGCCACAGACTAAAGACTTGGTCTGGTTGCAGAAACACTAAAGGCCCTGATCAGAGTAACCTCACAAACCCAGTGAAACTATCTAAACCCACCGTAAAGGCTAAACACATTTAAGGTTCTCCCATATCTTTAACCCTCTCCAGCTGTCACTTGGGAGTTGTTCGCCTGAATAGATTTCTAGGACTATAAATTTTGTTTGCACTGGACCAGGGCTCAGGAGTTAAAAACTTTTAATCTCAATCAGATCTGATCAGATTTGGAAATCTAACATGATCCAGGATCAAACAACTGAGCCATATTTTGTCCCAGTATTTCAAAATAATTCAGGATAAGATCACCCTGATCCAGATTCAGATTTTTCAAGATGATCAAAACCTGAATATCAGTTTTTTAAATCATACTTATTGCAACCTAGTGGATATGAAGAACAACAAAAGAAGCAGAAGTATAGCAATTCAGAGCCATTTGATAAGAAATATTTTCCAAGTACATAACACTTGCTTAAAATCATAATAGTACTGCAATGGATTTTACTCCAATGTGTACAACATACTACTGTTCAGTTACTTCTGAAATTTTATCACAGATGTAGCTTTTTTGTTGAAGATATTGTTGTTTAAAGTCCCCATGGCTGCTCAATTTGCTTGTTTCCAGTCCTTTAATGTTTAATCTTGGGTACCTCTAGATTAGTTTTAGCACGCCTCATAACTCCAAATAGTCTGTAATCATTTCAAGAGATCCCGTACTCCTCCAACCTGACCCCTCATGGCAGTTCGTGGTCGAGGTTGACGCATCAGACACTGTCCTCTCTCAGCGGTCCCAGGGAGCCCACGCCCTGCACCCCCGTGCATTCTTCTCCCGATGGTTGACCCTGGCTGAACGTAATTATGATGTGGGGAGAGTTACTCGCCATCAAACTGGCGTTGGAGGAATGGTGGCACCTCCTTGAAGGTGCTGACCAACCCTTTTTAGTCTGGACCGATCACAAGAACTTGGCCTACCTCCAGTCTGCCAAAAGGCTAAACCCCAGACAAGTGAGGTGGGCCTTGTTCTTTGATCAGTTCAGGTTTGTCCTCTCCTATCGGCCAGGGTCCCGTAACCAAAAACCAGATGCTCTCTCACGACGTTTTTGTTCCCAGACCACAGAAACCCCACCAGAAACCATTTTGCCTGCCTCCTGTGTGGTGGCCTCAGTTACATGGGAGATCGACGACACCATATGGGAGGTCCAACAACACGAACCCAATCGTGGGGTGGGACCACCAGATAGATTGTTTGTCTCCCAGGCTGTTAGGGCCCAGACCCTCGACTGGGCCCATTCCTCCCAGTTAGCATGCCATCCGGGGGTACAGAGGACCATTACTCTCCTGAAACGTTATTTCTGGTGGCCCACCCTAGAAAAAGATGCCAGGGAGTAAGTGGCAGCCTGTGCTCCCTGTGCGCAGTCAAAACCCCTCCATCAATCACCTGTGGGTCTCCTTTGGCCACTGACCATGCCCAGTCAGCCCTGGTCTCACATCGCCCTAGACTTCGTCACAGGGCTACCTCCCTCCCAAGGCAATACGGTCATTCTCACCATAGTTGACCGTTTTTCCAAAGCCGCCCATTTCCTCACTCTTCCACAACTCCCCACAGCACTTGAAATGGCCCAACTTCTGGTTCAACATGTTTTCCACATTCACGGTACTCCCATCAACATCGTTTCTGACTGCGGTCACATTTCTGGTCCACCTTCTGCACAGTCATTGGGGCTCGTCCTTGTCTTTCTTCTGGTTACCACCCCCAAACCAATGGTCAGGCTGAACGGTTGAACCAGGAGCTGGAAAACGCACTCCGCTGCGTCATCAGTTCTTCACCTGAAGACTGGAGCCTGTTGTTGCCTTGGGTGGAATACGCCCACAACACCCTCTCTATCTCTGCCACCGGTATCTCTCTCTTCCAGGCTTCTCTTGGTTACCATCCCCCTCTCCCCTCCGCCGCTGAAACTGACATCGCCGCTCCCTCCGTCCAAGCCCATATAACCCATTGTCATGAGGTCTGGGCTGAGACCAGGGCCGCACTGTTGTGTACGGCGAAACAAAACAAATGCCTTGCTGATCGCCGCCATCGAGACACTCCTACTTACCAGGTTGGGCAACAGTTATGGCTCTCGGCCGCTCACATACCCATCAAAGGGGCATGCTCCAAAATGTCTTCCCGGTTCCCGGGGCCTTTTGCCATCCAGGAAATCATACACCTCACTGCTGTTAAGCTCACTCTACCTGATTCCCTCCGCATTCACCCTGTGTTCCATGTCTCACATATAAAGCCTGTTTCCTCCAGCCCCCTCTGTCCTCCGCCGGCTCCTCCTCCACCTGCCCTGGAGGTGGATGGTGGTCCGGCCTTCACTGTCCGACAAATCCTGGATGTACACCCTCGGGGCCAGGAATTCTACTACCTGGTGGACTGGGAGGGTTATGGTCTGGAGAAGCATTCCTGGATTCCCCACTCCTTTATCCTCGAGCCCAGTCTATTAACTGACTTTTACAGGGCCCATCTGGACAAACCTGGGGGGCCCCGGTGAGGCCCTCCTTCCTTGTTATATATAGTTCTTTTTCACTGCACTTGTATTCCTGTATAGCACATTATTAAATCTGTTTGCACCGAAGTCAGGGTTCATTTTTCTTCGCACCCTCACTACCCCGTGGGGGTGCGATCATAACAGATCAAAGATTTTTATTGTCAATTCACTATATGTACAGGACATACAGAAAATCAAAATATTGTTTCTCTCTCACCTAGTATTGAATGCCATACCATTTGTGAAACTAAAATAGAATAAAAGTAGAATAAAAGAAAATAAGAAAACTAATTTAATTAGGATAAAACTAAACAGTAACTAAATCAGTGACAGTAGTGCAAATAATAAGAAGATTGTCAGATGGTTGTGAGATTGAGATGCACATGGACAGCAGTGCAAATGACCAACAGCAGCAGATATGACAGTAAAAACAGTCAGCAGTAGATTTACATGTAATATAACAAGAAGGGAGAATGTACTGGGTTTGTGCAACAAGCAGAGGTAGTCTTTATGTTCTGTGGTGGGTCACAGTCCAGGGGCAGGGGGCAGAGGCGGGGAGGTAATGGATAAGCATTCAGCATCCTCACAGCCTGGAGGATGAAGCTGTTTGTAAGTCTGGTGGAGTGGGCCTGAAGACTCCGATACCTTCTCCCTGAAGGCAGGGCCCTTCTGCAGGAGGCAGTACAGCCTCTGCACCTCACAGTGATGCAGCCAGTGATGACGCTCTCAATGACGCTTCCGGTAGAAGGAGTGCCTGATGGGGGGTGGGGGCACTGGCTCTCCTCAGTTTGCGAAGAAAGTAGAGGCGTATTTGAGCTTTCTTGGCCATTATTGTGGTGTTGTTGGTCCAGGAGAGGTCCTCAGAGATGTGCACCCCCCAGGATAAATGATAAAACCAGAGCCTCTTCTTAAAAATGAGAGAATAGTTCATGAAAGTGCACATGTCCTGTTGCTGGTGTTGTCACAACTGGGCAGCACAACGAACCACAGAATTAATTAATATGAATGTCTCTTCCATAGACAGGTAAACAATGGTATATGTACCAAAGAGATGTGTAACACTCTAAACAAAGCGGGTAACTGAGAAACCCCATATTTTAACTGGCATAATGCAGACATAGTAACTTCTCCAGCCTTGCAACAATTTTCTCTAACGTTACAGAAACAAGGCATTAACAGACACACAACCTGTGTTTGTTAAACTTACCGTTAAGTCCCACCAAGTAGTGGAAACATTGCTCCCTTTCAAGTAGCTCATGTCCGTCTACAGGACTCAGTAATGTTTGAGTCAAAATAAGATCCTCGATATTATTCAAAAATTTAATTAATCCTCATCACATACCCCAGTCTGTTTCTTTCTTTTGTTTCGCTTGCCAATTCCTGGAATGCTGTGAGCTAGAGCTTCTGAATACTTAAGGTTTCCAAGGTCAAAAATGAACTTGTGATCTTCAGATTTTTAAGCCAACTTGTACTGGACGTGCTCAGTAAATGTGGTATAGTTAGAAAATGGAGCAGTCACACTTGCAATGAGGAATTAGAAGAACCATGTTATCTGGTTTCTAACTCTGCCCCCAGGTGGGTCTACATTTCACTTCTTGCTCTGCTCTCATCCTGTCTTGGTGTAGCCTCTCCTGCAGATGACATCACAAACCATAGCCACTCGCACGTCCACAGGTCCATCATGGCTGACAGAAGGTCCTATGGTTTACCTCCTCCCTCTCTGTCTTCACCTTCGCACCAGAATGGAAGGATCAGAGGACTAGTACCCAAAGGTTCTCCAACCATTCACCAAAATGGTAGCCTGGATCAAGGACCAGGACACCACGCTCTCAGTAACACCAGTCCAGGTCTCACACCTGACCCTGCACCCAGCTGCAGCAGGACTCCAGCTTCCACCTTACCCCTTAGGAACCATGGGGGTCTTGTGAGTCTTGAAGGCAGCAGCAGTACCACCAGACCTCAGGGTCAGAGCCTTGGCTCTATTCTGAGCTCCAGGACCAGAACTACATCTACCAGGTGCAAGGTAACCCTCACCTGCTGCTACCATAAAACCTGATAAATTCTTCCCAGATTTATCCAGAGTCACAAAGTAAATTGGTTGAAACCACAGAATGCGTGATCAGGTTTATACAAACAGATTCAGCAGAACACATAAAAGACTTTGAAGCTCTGTGGTGCTGTTAGTGAAATGCACCTTGGGAGTTGCAGTAGATTTTCCTCCTTCAGTGTTTATGCCCAAAGGCTTCTCACGGTTCTGACTTGTTTTAATTCAAAGAACCAGATGTTTTCTAGTCGATTAGAAACTCAACATGAGCCAGAAAGAACTCCTCACACTCTGTGACACTTCACTGTCTAATAAGTTATGATGGGTCCATGTTGTTGTAGCACAGGAGCAGCCAGCAAGAGGAGGACCCAGAGGCCTTGTTGGACCTCATCCTGGAGTCTCAGGGTCAGAGACTGAACGACCAGAGAGCCAGCCACAGTCTTTTGCCAGATCCTGGACCAGGTGCTCTATGTGGGGCCTGTAGTCTCAACCCACCACCCCTACCTACTCTGGACTTCTACTGCATGCTCATACAATACCAGGTACCAGCAAGTGCCACGTAGCAAAGTCTGGTTTTAGGGATAAAATCTAGTGACCTGCCAAGAACAGACAGGAGTAGGGCACAGACAGGAATGGGGTACAAGGTCCAGGGTGACAGAAGGAGGTACAGGTTACATAAACCTTCATGTGGGAACTTGTGGACAGTGTAACAATTTGAGTCAAGGTTCAATGAGGGGGACAGGTGTGGTTTAGTAAAAGACTAAGGTACAGGTGTGTGGGAACAAGCAGATCAGGTGACTGACAAAAACAGATACCTTCATGAGAACAGCTGCTAAGCAGGCAAGGAATGAAAAAATCTGGAGGGTTCATGGAGATTCAGGATCTGATTTAAGTCTTAATAAGATCCCCATTAGCTGATGTAATGACATCGGCTACTCTTCCTGGGGTCCCTACAAATACTAAAAACATTACAACAAGTATGATTACAAAAGCAAAAGCATTAAAACAAGTACAAATAAGTACAAACAAAAACAAAACATATGGACTAAAAAAGCCATTAGAAGATAATATACCAATGTCAACATACAATGTACAAGTTTTTTTCAACCTCAACCACATGAATTGGTGCCTAGAGGATATTTTTTTTAATTTAAAATATACAGTAAAACATTACAGTGATATGGCCACTAGATTCTGCCTTAACTGTGTTTTAAAACTAACTTAAGAATTTGAGCAGGAAGTGCGTTTCCTCCAGCCATAGCTTGATAAAATACTGCTTGTTGTTTTAAACGTGTTCTCTAATTAGAGGCTATGTAAATTCCCCTATTAGTGTGTGAGAGAGAAGGATGGGGGTTATAATAACAGGATTTGGAACGTGATTTCTTTGACCTGTCGGTCTGCCTCTCTGCAGTCTGACAGGATGGATGACCAGAGATGTTCCCTTCCTGATCTGGATGATGTGGCTGGATCCGTTCCTGAGGGTCAGGAGGATTTCTTCAGTTTGATCCAGAGAGTTCAGTCCAGGAGGATGAATGAGCAGAGAGCTTCCCTGCTGCTAACACATACTGAGGATGATTATGATAATGATGGTCCTGCTGCCTCCCCCCATCATCAATATCATCACTGACCAAGATCAAAGTCTGAGTGTTTGTCAGAGCCCCACAGAGACGGGGTCTACAAAGTACTGTTGATAAGTATCTAGATTTGCACCATTTGCATGTTTTTGGATGTTCTTTTCTGAATCAGGGTAACTGCAGCATTCAGACTGAAACCAGAATCTGGACCTTGCTGATGTGGCCGCTCAGCCTGAAGGTCTGACCTGAGACCTATTGCTGTCCAACTCTTGACCCCAGGAGTTACAGGTCTGCTGTGGAGTTTCAGACTTCAGCTAATATTTTTATGAGTGGGTCCTGCTTGGTTTCGTATCTTGTGTCCAAGAGCATGTGAGCGAAGGTGATCTGATTCAGCTGACACCGGTGGCAGCAGTAGCACCACAGGAAATGCAACAATGCCACAACAAAGGCAGCGAAGAAGAGTGCCAGCAAGTGGTCCCGATGTAAACAAATGTTTTATGATGACAAAAAATATATCCAAGATTTTTGTTAGAGTTTAAACAGAAACTTTGTTGACAAGAAAACTGCACAGCTTACCTCCAGCTGCCAGATCACATGACTCACTGGTACTCACAGGCGTTCAGGTGTGATTGTCGGCACCAACAGGAAGTAACCACCTGTATAGTCCCTTCTTCTGTTTCCACTGCTCTCTATATGGCTAACTCGAGAATCGGTTTACTAAACACAGTACAAAGCTTCATTGCAGAGGGCTGTTTCACAAAAGCAGAATTAAGAAAGAAATCCAAGATAACAAGACAAAGTGAGGCTTGACCTAGTCTGCTAAGTGCATCCTGACTAGCCAATATAAGCAATGTGATTATCGGTTGAGGCAGAAGGCCGCCCACCAGGAGCCGGGGTCTGTCGGAGGTTTCTTCCGTTAAAAGGAGTTTTTCCTCCTCGCTGTCGCCAAGTGCTGCTCAGGGGGATTTGTTGGGTTTTCTTCGATGATGATAATAATAATAGTAAGGTCTAGACCTTACTTTGTAAAGTGTCCTGAGACCCATTCTGTTGTGATTTGGCGCTATACAAATAAAACTGAATTGAACTTTAAGAATTTTGGTGTCTGCAAAAATAAGATAAGTGACAGCACTTCCACTGTTGTGTGGAATGACCCATATAGGCTGTGACCTTGTGTAGAAAAGGGCACGCTATTGTAAAGGAAGAAACAATCACAGTATATAGGACTTTATACAGAATATTGCCCTTATCACTGACTTCAGTGAAGACACTTTTGCAGCTTTATCCTCTGTCTCTCACCTCAACACCTGCAATAAAATTCACCAAACTTCTAACAACATAAACAGCAGTCTTCATAAATGCAGCCAGTACCAATGACTGATCATTGTGACCACTGACAAAACAGATAAGGCACCAGGATTAATCAAGCCTGGCTGTTAGCCTGGTCTGGAGCAGGCTAGCTACAAAGAAAAAAAATCTCTATAGTAACTTATGCACTACTGCTTTTGTGAAACCAAGTTGCAGATAACTTCAGCCAGAATAACTGAAGAATCCCAGTTTAATCTGCTATCTAGGTTTTGTGAAACAGCGACCAGGTGATCGTCATGTGGAACTCTGACTGCAATTCTCTGACACATAAATGTAAAAGAAAGTCAAAGAATCATCAGTCAAATCTAATGGAACCACAAGCTGATCAGCCAGTGATCCCTCCTTGTCCGGGGCCTCATATTGGGAAACCCATAGAAACTGTGAATCCTGCACCTCACACTCTCCTAAAGTCTGGATTTTGAAATTGAAATCAGAAGAACCAAGAACATGAGAAGATCTGACAGAAAATGGACGAGTCCAGATCTGGACCCATGAGGGCGGTCCTGGTCTGTGCTCCCTGTGTGGACCTGAAACAGTTTTAAACTGTAGCAACATCAGTGGGAATCTAACTCGACACATATTTTAACATGCTACTGATCTGAAACACTTCTCTAGAAGTTTTTATTTTATTTTTATTGACAGATAATGTTTTAATATTTTGGAGATGTTTTTCTACAAAAAAATAGTTTTTTTGGAAGTCAAACATTGGAAAGGTTTTATGAACACAAACTTTAACTAAAGATTTTTGTATTTTTTGTTGATGAATAAATCCACAGCTCTTTGACCAGAGCTGGAAAACTGCTCCTTTACTTCAGTAAAACCATCAGAACAACTGTGAAACTTACTCTGTTACCTTATTTTAGTGTAAGTACTTAATAACTTTGGCATACTTTCAGCTAGAAAAATACATTCACATTGTATATACATGTGTATGATGTGCTTAGTGAATACCTCAGGCAGCAGAAACCAGAAGAACAAGGGAAGGAAGAGCAGGAACCATCATGGAAGGACAAACCTCTGCACGGTATGTACCACCGTCAAATAGTAGAAGTGGCTGATATCAAAAAAATCCTACCAGTGGCTGGACAAAGCTGGACTGAAAGACGGCACAGAGGCACTAATCCTGGCTGCACAAGAACAAGCTCTAAGCATAAGATCAATAGAGGCAGGGGTCTACCATACCAGACAGGACCCCAGGTGCTGGCTGTGTAAAGGTGCCCCTGGGACAATCCAGCATGTAACAGTGGGGTGCAAGATGCTAGCAGGCAAGGCATACATGGAACACCATAACCAAGTGGCTGGCATAGTGTACAGAAACATCTGT